AGAGTTCTCTCTGCAGGACAGGCGTGACAGATTATCAATCTACGCTGGAGATCACATATCCAACTACACCTTACTGGGAGAATACAGCGGTAGGATTGCTGCATAACTTACTTCTTCCTACAGCTTATTGGTTGCCAAATGTCAAGACATAAATTAGCTAGTCGGTCACTAAACTAAACTTTATTCCTGAACGATCTTAGAGGTTATACTACAGTATTCTTTATACTTCTTTTTACGGCCCACACAAAAATACAACAATTAACAAATTCAATTTGTCATGTTACGTTTAGTCTTTCCAGGTACTTATAATAAGAGACAACAGTCCCCACACAGTAACCTGCTATTCAAGCGTTTGAAAATCGTAAATGCTCTGCCCCATATCGTAAAGTACTTTCAAAATCATTGCCTGCATACCGTGTAGTGTATTAGTGTTAAACTTTATAAACTCTTTAAAAGGAAGAGATGTTCCTCGAGAAGTCATCTCCACATCGAAGATAATCCACGTAGTCCTGATTACAGACGAGACGGTTAGCGCAGATGGTTTCAAGATCCATTATGAGGGTAATTATTCAAACTTACTTGAATTTACCTGTGTGTATACAGGACATGTTTACAGCACAGTGGACATTGGTAGAATGTAATTTAGAAGTAAAAGCATTTATTAGTGTAATTACATTTCTCAAATTATGTTAGCCGTATAACAGAAACAAAACGCTTTTAGCTGTATGTGTCCTGCTATATTTTTTTTCTTTTGGGATGGGAGGTTTTGACTCATGTATCTTCAAACGTCTTGTAAAGTATTTTTTCACTGTGAAAGTGGCTGCGAGAATATAACTTTTGCCAAACTTGAGTTACCAGCCACTTAGTCAGTGTTCTTTCATTTGCATTTATCACTGAGCATAAAAACAACAACAAAATAACACTTGCATACCACATTATTTCTGCGAAATATATGTCCAACAATATGGGGTCGATATGTTTCCACTATTTATCAGTTACTAGATAAAATATAATTTGTGTATCAATTGTGCGAATCAGGTATGATGACATAAGGCATATCCCTAATCGTAACCCTTTTTGATATTTAGTACCCATATGATAAGAATTGTTTTGCACAAGTGCAATGCTACAGTGTCCTAGAAGCCACCGCGAGGTTTTCGATACTTGCCCTAATGCTTTATTTTGTAGACATCTACGTTCATGCAAAAATATATAACAACCCCTCCATAGCTTTGTGTAAGTTAATGTTGTTAAATGAAGCAAACACACAGCCAATCAAATGTTTGTCGTCGATAGAAACGGCAACTAAATTTTATGGATGAAATTGCATGCCGATTAAACAAAGGGAACCCAGTGTTTTGACTGCGAACATGAAAAACCGGCTACCCACAGTACTCCGTCCGGAGGTATACCTCCTTCACGGAGTAATGAATAAGATACTTCACTGCATCAATTTACTAGAAGTAAAAGCACAACAAATCAGATCCTTGTCTTATCTCCTCTCTTCATATTTATCTACCATCCACGTTCCGGTATGGCAACAGACATTTTTGCCCATTTTCGTCATGTTGACCACTGTCACAACAAAATCTGTTGAAAATAATTGCGCGCGCTGATGTCATCCATAAAAAGTATTTGCTGTGGAGTAATTTGACAATAGGTGATATAAGCTAAATACCTGCTTGATAGAAAATCAGATTCAACTAACTTTTGTGGCTGTAGGATATTATTTGGTGGACGGACTGTGCCCTGATCCTGGCCTTATGGCGAACGGAATCACTTCATGGGTCAGTTTCGCAGTTGGTTCGACTGTTTCCTTTGACTGCTATGATGGCCACTATGATAATCATCCGGACGCGTACGGCGGATATTACGCGTTAAGAGGGCCGTCAAACATTACATGCATGCCCAGCAAGAAGTGGAACAGTCGTCCTCCAACCTGTGAAGGTATTAAAAGAGCATTAAATTGTCAATATTGGTGAAAAAGAAGAATGTTAATGATGAATTTATGCATGGATGAGGTCTATGACTAAACATGTAGAGTAGAGACAGACACGTGATACAAAAGACTCTACCTATAT